CCTCCAGAGGTCTCTCCTCCCTCGGGCAGGGTGAGCAGCACTGTGCGAAGCTGTGGCTGCTTCTAGGTACCTGAGTAACTACCTTCAAGACACATTTCTCTTGATAGACAAGTATAAGGGAGAAAATATTATTTTCCCTCCACCCATCCATCTTAGGTTCATTGTCTACGGCAGTGGTTCCCAACCTTCCTTTGGCCATGCCCCACCTAAGCATCTCTAACATCCTGATGCCCCTCCCCATGACATATAATTTTTATTATTTAAAAAGTGAACTACATTTTCACGTGGAGGAAGCCTAAAAGGCCATTAACTTGGTCTAAACAGGCTTCCAAAGAACATGGCATCCATGAATGAGAAAAATGAAAGAACGAAAGGACAGTTGAAGTACGGAGGAAGAAATCACTAAATAGTTGTTAAAAAAAAATAATAAAATTAAGTGATATGAAAAAATAGTTAACAAAGTTTCAAAATATGTAACAGAACTGTAATGCATAAATATGTCACAATATATATTTATATACTGTATATGAGGCTCCTAGAACCATAAGAAATACAAAAATTTCACTGTTAACATTAACTTGGGCTGATATAGCATCTTAAAGAACAGTACATTTTGCCGAAACCGGTTTGGCTCAGTGGTTGAGCATCGGTCTGTGGACTGAAAGGTCCTGGGTTCGATTCCGGTCAAGGGCATGTACATTGGTTGCGGGCACATTCCCGGTGGGGGGTGTGCAGGAGGCGGCTGGTCGATGTTTCTCTCTCACTGACGTTTCTGGCTCTCTATCTCTCTCCCTTCCTCTCTGTAAAAAAAATCAATAAAATATATATTAAAAAAAAAGAATAGTACATTTTTAGAGAACTGACCACAAAGGAAAAAGACTTTGAACTTTCAGGGATAGCAAATTGTGGAAAGGCAAATATATGGGGAAACTATTGGTAGATGAAGACTAATTTTATCCGGGTTTGTTCAATTCCTCTGGTGCTGTCTCTGGGCCAATACAGATCCAGAGTTGTCACCAGTGATTGACTTATGTCCTCCCTGGTGGAGGGGGTGGAGGCAGCTCTACAAATCCATGACCTGCTTTTAGGCAAATAGGGGAAAAACAGAGAGCTTTTCTTGAAATTGTTTCTTCTAATCTGCCTTCAGCTCAAAATAATCCTTATACAAAGTGGCATTTTTGGAGGTGGCATAGTCAGCTACCCTGAAGCAAACTTTTGTTATTTACTGTCACTATAGCATAACTTAGCCCAGAGTAGTCCCTAGACCACTAGCATCGGCTCCACCTGGGAACTTGTTAGAAATACAGATTCTCAGGCCCCACCCCAGACTTACTGAAGCTGAAGCCCTGGGGCTTTAAAGAACACCCCCACTCCAGGGGATTCGGATTCTCCCTCAGGTTTGAGAACTGTTGTCCTGGCTGGTGCAGACTCATCTGACCGTCTGGAAGGCCAAGCAGGAGGAATTAGAATCCAGAGAAGGTCATCCTAGTAAACTTGGAAACAGAGTAAAAACACTAATTAAATGTGAGGTGTTTATGTCATAGAAAATCATTTTTATGTTGTTGTTATTTGTTTTTTTATTTTTTAGAGAGAGAGGAAAGGAGAGGAATAGAAACATCAATCATGAGAGAGAGTCACTGATCGATTGCCTTGTGCACGCCACAGCCTGGGCATGTGTCCTCATCAGAATCAAACCATGACTTCCTGATTCATAGGTCAACACTCAACCACTGAGCTATGCCCACGGGGAGAGAAATATATATTTTAAAATATATATTTTTATTAATTTTGGAGAGGAAAGGAGAGAGATAGAAACATCAATGACGAGAATCATTGATCAGCTGCCTCCTGCACCCCTCCCCCCATCACTGGGGATCAAGCCGGCAATCCAGGCATGTTGACTGGAATCAAACTGGGGACCTTTCAGTCCACAGGCCAATGCTCTATCCACTGAGCCAAACCAGCTAGGGTGAGAAAATATTTTTTAACAAGAAATTATTGTACCCATCCCCAAGATGGTGAAAACTGGCTGTGTGAACAGTCTCCTCCTCTGTTGCATCAGAAGATAATGCTGCTGCAGAAAGGATACTCCAAACCCAGTGTCACCGAAGCCACACCTCGGGCCTAAGAGAAACTCACAACCTGCTTCCGTTTCTCCCCATGGCCTTGCTGACTTGGAGAATGCTCCTGAATGCTTGGAATCCGAAAAGCACATACAACCCAATTCTCAGAGCTTCCGCAGAGGCTGTGTGGTAATGGGCACTGCTTAAATGAAGCAAAAAGTACAATTTCAGAGCAATTGCTTTTTAAACTGTCAAGTAAAAGGAATCCATCGGTGCATGTGAAATTATTCCAAGGGTTCTAACTATTAGCTGAAAGCAGGTGAGAGATGTCAACGAAAAGAAATGTTCTAGAAAGAGCTAGCGAATGTTTAAAGACCGACGCCCGACGACTCCTCTGGCCTGTTTTGGATGAAAAGACGTCTATTTTCACCAGCCCTAGGTGAGCTCCATGGAAAAAAAGTTTTAAGAAAAATTTAAATCCTGGTAACCAGATGCCATTCTGTTCTTTGGAGCTGCTTTAATCAGTATGACTATGACCCTGACTGCATACGATCACTTTATCTCTCTCCTTTGCCTTAAATTTGATGCCAGGAGCCCTTGGCCTGCTTTCCCGCTGATACAGCTAACACTGTTCCGTGGCCTTCTCTTTGCTGTTGATAAATGCATCCTTGTACAGCCTCGCCAATGACAAAGATATTCGGCAGACGTATGAGAGGTGTCTTGGCCATCCCTTGCAGGCATGCCTGGTCCAGGGCACCCATGGGGAAAGCGCCTCAGGGGGTAAGGCATTGCTACAGACAACACAGAGCCTGGCTGTTAGACTCTGCGAGGCCAACTCCAGCCTTTTCCACTGCATTTTCTCTAGGGGTTTCCGCTGCAATTAGACTTGTTCATGCCTTCAGTATCTCTGTAGGCACGGAAACTGGGCTGCTGAAAATAAACAATTAGGGGACCTGCTGCCTCCCCTGGCCCTTCAGGTACCTCTTACCCGTGCCACTCTGCCAGGCTTAGCCAAGCAAAAGGATCCTGCTTACTCAGCCCAAGAGGAGCCACGCAGATGGTGATGGGCTAGAGACGCTGGGACAGACTCGGAAGGGCCATGCTTCTGGCACGTGAATGTGAAACATGCGCATTCTGACTCCGTGGGCTGCAGCCTCAGAGCCTGAATCTCTTGCAAGCTCCCAGGCAAGGCTCGTGCTGCCGTGGCCCACATTGTGAGCGGCGAGGGGATAAGCACATTCTGCAACACCGTGACTTCTAGGACAGACGCTGCTCAACAGGCATTGATTGAAGGGCCTGGCTCCATTTTGATTTAGGATTCCTTAAAGGCAGGGACTGGATCTTACCATTTTAAAACGTTTTTTTGGTTTTGTTTTGTTCTCTGGCTGGCACTTGGCACCGGTCCCACACACGGTGGGTGTGTATTTATTTAATTAAACAGAGCTGGCCTCGTTCCAAACGGGATTGCAAGTGGACTGAAACCCCAGCAGGCTCTAGCCAGGTGCCTGAGGCACTGGCCCAGGAAGGAAGTCAGGCCCTGGGCTGAGACCCTTCCCCCAAAGGTCCCCATCACCTCCCGTGCCTGGGTTACACCTCGGCTGCTGCTCTTTTGAAATCCTCTCTCCTAACCCCATTTTAAAATCGGTTTACCCTAGAGAGCCGGCCAGAGGAGGAAAACAAAACCAAACCAAACCCAGAAAGCCCTGCGGGGCGGTGAGGCTCAGGCACATCCAAAACTCAGCTCTCCGCCCAACTCTCAGGTTTCCCTCTGCCTGGTCTGCAGGTCGGCCCTGCGCCCCCACCGCCGGCTCCCCGCCCGCCCTCAGGCCCTTCGGGAGCGTCCCAGCCCGCACAGGAGCTCATGGGCTTCCTGCTGGCTCTGCTTGAGGAATTAATCTTCTAAAGCATCCCCTGCACCCCGGAGGTCGTGGGGAGCTCAGACAAGAGCGTGGCGCTATGGAAACCCGGGTTCCAGGAGTCCCCACGGAGCCATAACCTGTTCCTCTGGGCAGCAGCCTCCGAGGGCCCTGGAGGCGGGGTTCGGCGCGGGTCCACAGGGGGAGAGGCAGAGGAGGAGGGAGGGAGGAGGAGGGTGATGGCGCGGGCGAGTGCGCCCCGGAGGAGGAGTACACGTGCTGCCAGGGGGTGAGAGGCGGGCGGGAGGGAGGGGAAGGGAGGCGTGAGCTGCAGGCGGGAGGCGCCACGGCCTGGAGACGCAGGCGCCGGCAGCCGGAGAGAAAGTTCCCGCGGAGAGCGCGCCCCGGGGAGGGCCGGCGTCGAGGCCGCTCGCAGCGGAGGTCGCGGGTCCTGCGCGCCCGGCCTGCCTGCCTCCTGCGCGCCCTGGACCGCCCGGCCCGGATCCTCGGGGAGCTGCTGCGGCCAAACTTGGAGGAGGAGGAGGAGGAGGAGGAGGAGGAGGAGGAGGAGGAGGAGGAGGAGGAGGAGGAGGAGGAGGAGGAGGAGGAGGAGGAGGAGGAGGAGGAGGAGGAGGATGCGAGTGGGAGCGGCGGCGCGGGACGCGGAGGCGCACTGAGTGCTCCCCGGGGGCGGCCCCAGGTGAGGCAGCCGGCGCCGCGGCCCCGCGAGCCCGCCGAGCCCGGGCTGCCAGGTAGCGGCTCCCGCGCCGGGACTGCGCCAGCCCTGCCAGCCCTGCCAGCCCTGCCAGCCAGGGCCGCCAGCGCCACCGCCACCGCGCCCGCGTCGCCTCCTCGCCACGGAGCCATGGTGCGCGGGGCGCGCACGCCCCGAGCGGGACTCTGAGCTCCGCCACGCCGCGCGCCCACCGCCTCTCCCGGGCTCCCCGCCGACCTTCCTCCGGGGCATGAGGCTCCGGTCCGGGGACCCTCGCCTCTGAGCGGAGCGGCGCCGCTGGACCCCAGACAGCGCTCCGGCGGCAGAGCCTCCGCGTCCCCCGGGACCGGCCCCCAGCGCTCCGGGATGGCGCTGCCAGGCCCGCTCCGGCCGCCGCGCAAAGTTCGCAGGAGGCGAGAGCTGCTGCTGCAGCAGATCGGCTTCGTGTGCGCCGTGCTGGCGCTGGCGTGCTGCGCGCCCGGCCTCTTCGGCAGCCCGGGTAGGTGTCGGCGTGCGTGCCGAACCGGGAGTTGGGGGGCTCGGGCTGGGAAGCCTCGGGCAGCTCCGAGATGTCGCCCCTTCCTGCCCCGTCAGGTGGGTCCCAAGGGCCCACGCAGTCCCCTCCCCGCGGGGCAGGTAGCGCGCACCCCGGAGGGCTGGTGGCGGTGCTCCGAGCCCTGGCGCCGGGTCCCCGAGCTGCGTGCAGCCCCCGGGGGCTCCGGACGCGGCCGCCGGCGGAGTTACTAGGAATCTGTGTCCGGGGTGTGCGGGGATGGGCAGCGCGGCCGGGGTCCAGGTGTGGGCGCCCTTGACCTGCGGGGTCCGCCTTCCTCCGCTGCGGAGCGGAGACGGTTGTTCTCTGCGTCCCCGGAACATCCCCATTCAGAGGCTGTGAACCCTCTTCCCTCCCGGAGGCTGCTGCCATGTTCCAGCATCGCTCTCCCAACTCCTCTCATCCCCCGGGTAGGAGCTCTGGCGTCTGGGGCACAGCCTGCACCTCCTTCTCCCGAGTCCCATAGGTTATGCAAATCCGAGGTGGAGAGCAGGAGAAACTTACAAAAAAAAAAAAAAAAAATCGGGTGGTGGTAGTGGGCATGCGAGCCCCTCTGGAGTCTTCAGGAGACACCCACTTGGCCATTTTTAATGGGCTGCTGGGGGCCTTTTGTTTTTCACATTTTAAAAATATGAAGAACGCAGGTGATTTAGCAAAGTGGACACGGCATAAAGAGGCAGTACCTTCTCGAGCCGTGAGAAAGGGACAATGTAGAGAGGTTTGTAGTGAGGGACAGGCAACATTTAGCTGGAACTTGATTAAAGTTAAAAAAAAATACTGCTCTTCAAACCCATACTTAGTGACTGAGGATGTAAGGTTAAGCGGCCACTGTTTCCAACAAAACCAGAATGGTTATTTGCGCATCTTAATACCTGCTGGTTTGCAATGGGGCGAGGTGATGTGTTTCCCCCCTCAGCTACACACCAGAGATAACAAAACCCCGAGAGGCTCTTAGGTGTCAGCATTGGAGAAGGGTCATCAGCCCGCTGAGGCTGCGTAGGCATCGGAGAGGGACGTGAGTGCTGTAAAGTTCCCGTAGTGAGAATCGCCCGTGTTTGCTGCATCAGGACTTGCTGTTAGGAGTTTAACTGCATGTGGTCCCTGCTATCCACATTTGTGACCTCACGTGGTCCTCCGTGTGGCCCTTGGACCAACAGAGTCAGCATCTCCTGGGAGCCGGCTAGTGCTGATTCCCAGGTGCCAGCCCAGACCCACCGAAGCAGAATCTGCATTTTAACGGGGTCCCCAGGTCATTGGCACATTCAAGCGTGAGAAGCTCTGGGCCAGACCCCATCGATCTTCTCCACCTGCCTGCTGGCTTCCTGTCCATGCGTAGGCCCTGCAGAGCTGGGTTAGGGTTAGAGCTGGGGCACCTGAGCATCTTCACTAGCAGAGAACTTCCTGGTTGCTTTTCTACACTCTTTGTTGCCCTCGGGAGGGGCTGGGAAAGGAGAGATCTTGGCCAAGGTCAGAGCACACGCTGATCCACCTGGGGCTGGGAACAATGGACTCCATCTGGGAACCAGATGACTGTAGGTGATATCTATTGTGTTTCCAATCATTGTATCACTCCGTACAGTGGCTATAAGTAGTCAAAGAGGGCTGCTGCAGCTAGATGACCCGTAGGTGAGGTCATGGTGAGAATGAATGCAGGTGCCACCTTGGCCTAATGGTGTCTGTTGACTTAATTTCCAACCCAGGGCATAAGACAGCTTCTGCAAGCAAGCAGGCTCTGCCCGCCTCGTGGAGAAACAGAAAGCTGATGGCACCGCTGAATGGGACTCAGGCAGCTAAGAACTGCACAGATCCTGGTAAGAAATAGAGTCTTCACCCTCCTCTGACACCCCCTCCCGCCCCCGGCTTTCAGCTGGGCCTGGAGACCGGGCCTGTGTGGCCAGGGAAGCCAGAGCTGGGAAAGGGGGTTTTATGCACCGGGGTGGGAGGTGAACGGGAGGGCATTTCAAGGTAATGTACACATGTTGATCAGTTGTGCTGCTAAGCAACTCAAGTACTTTCTTTATCCAACATCTGAAAAAGGTCACATTCAAGAGTTTTAAATTTTCATTTTCTCACAGTGCTCCGAAGGCTCAGAGTCCCCCACTCTCTTGATCTTGTTGGCCCGGCGTCTTCTCTTGTTGTGCCCACTTGCTGGGGCTCTAGGGGCACCAAGCCCAGCTGCTGTGACGGATGGCGCCTGGGGAAGACCTGTCAGCCAGGGCAGCTGCAGGGGAAGACGCGTGGTCCCGGGCCCCTTCTCTGAAGTGGGAGTTTCTGGGGTGTCATCTCAGCTCAGGGATGAGTCCTGCCTGCCCTGGAGGCAGTTTCCATGTTCCTTCTGAGACGTCTGGAGGCGGGTGGAGGCTTCGGGACCCAGGGATGACAGCTGGTCCCTGTCCTTTGCTAGAAGAGGGGAGGTTCCGGGAGGGGATAGTGCTCCTGGCAGGCAGAGGGGCGAAGGGAAACTGCCCAGGCCTCTGCAGGGCATCCTGGGCTGTGTCTCTGGCGCCAGCACATGGTGGTCTCTGATAGAAGTACCCGGTGGGTGATGTATTTGGAGGTTTTGAGAAAATGAGGCTTTATGATGGGTGGATACCACTTAGCTTTTCCACTGAGTTGCTGGTGAGTCACGTGATGTGTTTAGGCCTCTGCTTCCCCGCCTGTGAAATGGGCAGACTCGTGCGTGCCTGCTGGAGGGTTGTTGGAAGAATCCAGTAAGGCTCTGGGTGGGGCTGTGTGTGAGAGGAAATGGAACCCCGGGGCCAAGGAGCAGGTTTGAATGGCATCGTCCGGTGGCTCGTTTTTTACAGGCAGGTCTCAGCTGCGTTTCATGGGTCAGGGAGGGACACACGACTTGCTTAAGTCACGGAACCTGTGGCATGGGGCTTCCTCGGAGCCTAGGCAGTGCGATTAGCATGTTTGGTGGTTCCATGTGCACAGAGCGGCTGGGGCCTTTCCTCCAAGCCTGCTTCCTACACCATCTCCTTCCCTTCTCCCAGGATTCTTCTGAGAAGTACAGGCGGGCATGGAGAGCAGGTGAGCACAGGCTTGCAGAGAAGCAACTAGAATTCCCTTTGAACTTTGAACTCTCACCTATCCTGGCTGATTCAGCAGCAGTGGTACCCACCGTGTCATTTAACCTCCCCCAGGGCACCTTTCATCAGCCAGAAGTGTGTGTGTGTGTGTGTGTGTGTGTGTGTGTGTGCGCGCGCGTGCGTGCGTGCGCGCGCCAGACTGACATGGGCGCACGGACAAGGCCGTCCTTGCACTCCAGTGACCTGAGATGCTAATTAGCACCAGGCAGGCAGGGAACACAGGGCTTTTCGGGGCAAAGAATTGGGGTTGGTGCCCTAGCCTGTTTGGCTCAGTAGATAGAGCATTGGCCTGTGGACTGAAGGGTCCCAGGTTTGATTTCCGGTCAGGGCATATGCCTGGATTGTGGGCTCAGTCCCCAGCGTGGGTCATGCAGGATGCAGCCAATCAATGATTTCTCTCTCATCATTGATGTTTCTCTCTCTCTCTCTCTCTCTCTCTCTCTCTCTCTCTCTCTCTCTCCCTTCCTCTCTGAAATAAAAAAAAAATTGGAGTTGGTGCAGTTTTGACTGGTTTCTAGCTCATGGTGCTCTTGGTCTTGGACGGGGCACATTGGCTTAGATAAATTCCCCTTTCTTAGAGTCTCCTATGCTCAACTGTTTCCTGAATTTTCAATGAATTCTCTGATGAAAAGTGATCACACTAGCCTGGCTGGTGTTGCTCAGTGGTGACATCAACCTATGATCCAGGAGGTCACGGTTTGATTCCCAGTCAGGGCACATGCCTGGGTTGTGGGCTGGATCCCCAGTGGGGTTGTGCAGGAGGCAGCCGGTCAGTAATTTTCTCTCATCATTGATGTTTCTCTCTCTTTCTCTTCCTCTCTGAAGTCAATAAAAGTGTATATATATATATATATATATATATTTTTTTTTTTAAATAACCCCACTAACTGTAGAGCAGGCAGTCCTACCTGGCAGGAGGGCCTGGACTTGTGCCCCTTCCGGAGAGGAAATGGAGGGGAATCGGCAACCTTTTTTGCAATAATTAACATTTGCGTTATGGTGTGTTGACTGTTTCTGGAATAGGGCCCTGCACACAGAAGGGACTCGGTAAATATTGGTAAAATGATGGAATGAAAGTGTATTTTGAATATTAAGCACTTTAATTCTTAGAGTGTTTCTGCAAAGATGAGGAGCAAGAAGCACTGAAGTGTAGTGACTTTCCAAGATCTCTTGCTGGTGGGAGCATCCCTGGTGTTCTGGCTCCAGATCCTATGTACCTGCCCTCTCACACAGCACTACATTCGCCTCCCCCTACCCCCCATCCCATCCCTACCCCCATCCCCACTGCACAAGCCCCAGCTCTCCTCCCAGCCCCGGTAGGCTGAGGCCTGTCTTCCCTGCCAGCCCCTGGTCTCTGGGCTGGGAGAATATCCAGCCTCCTTCCCATTTCACAATCATGTGGGGGCACTGGGTGGGGAGTATAAGCATGTGTGAGAGGCAACTCTTATCATCAAGCTGCTCACGTTGTGGGGAGAAGGCCTGAGCTCTGGTGTCTCTTCCTTTTCTTAGAAGGGCACTAATCCCATCATAGGGACCTCACCCACCTTCATGACCTCATCTAACCCTAATTACCTCCAACAACCATCACATTAGGGGGTTAGGGCTTTAACATAGGAATTTGGGGGAGACACAGACCTTCAGTCCAGATCAGGAACCAAAGAGTTTCCATTCATCTCGCAGGAGTGGCACCAGAGTGTTTGAGGACAGCTTCTCACACCTGGCCTGCAGGTGAGAAACACCTGTGGGCTCTGACAAATACAGATGCCTGGCCCTGGCTCTGGCCCCAGTTCGTGACATCAGAACCAGAGATGGACCTATTCTGTGGCCAGTTTTCAGAGCTTCTGGGAAACTGGCTCACCCCCACCCCCACCCCCCAAATCCTCCATGGTGGGCTCCCCTTTGTCACTGCAGCATCCCCAGGCCTGCCCTGGTCATGCAACCCAAGTCACCTCCAAGTCCCGGGCTCTCTGGCTTAGCTCTTTGCAGGCAAGAATTCTATCCCTCTTCTTCCTGTTGGCTTGCTTCCTCCAAGTAGACTCTAGAAGGTGAAAGCCTTGTTTGCTTTCTAAAACCACAGTGTGTGCTTCAGGTTTTCCTTCTGTAAAAGGCGGGTGATAATTGAATCCACCTCATAGGGTTGTTAGAATTAAATGAGTTCCCTTCCACCAAGTGATACACACGCCCATGCTCAGGCCTCAGCCTGCCTTTGGTTCTTTTCTTATCGGCTTACTCCAGAGACAATACCATGTCTGTGTACAGTAGGTACTGGAAAAACTGCTGTCAATCAAATGTCAGGACACGTTGAGAGGTAAACGTCTTGTCAAACACTGTTTCTTCTTCTCTCCTGGAAACACATGTCTTGGTTTGATTTTTATTTTATTTTTAAAAATTTTTTTTAATGTTTTGAGGATTTGGGATGCGGGAGGGTGGCAGACCTTGCGGAGCTTGCCTCTAAAAGGAATTTGTCCCTTGGCTGGTGTTATGGTACATGTTGGCGTTTAGCTCACGTGGGCCCGGCTTCCCCCATTCTTACAGCTTTCCCCCCACATCTGAGACTGGATCAGCGATCCATCCTCCCCTGGGTCACCTGGTCATCTGGGTCTCCTTCCTCTGCCCCGTGTTTAGAAGGAGCAGCAGGGACAGAGGGTGGCTTGGTTCCCCCTGTTGTCATTGGCGCGCGCGCATGTGTGTGTGTTTATCTTTGGTGGTGGTGGGGGGCGGGTGTCTATTTTATCTTTTGTGGTTTTCCACTTGTCTTTTGGAATGCCCGGTGGCTGGGCACCTTAGCTCAGGCTGCTGGGGACGATACCATGGCCTGGATGCATAAAGCACAGAGGAAAAGTATTTTCTCACAGTTCTGGAGGCTGGAGGTCCGAGGTCAGGGCTCCAGCGTATTGGGGTTCTGGCTTGCAGACTGTGCCTTCTTGCTCAGTCCTCATGGAGGTCTCTGGAGGCTCTTCTGGAGCTGCAAAGAATCCATTGGAAGGCTGCTGATCCCATCAGACTGGGGCCCCACCCTGGGAACCCATATACCCATATTACCTTCCAAAGGCCCCATGTTCAAATACATTGCTTTGCTTTGGGTTAGGGCTTCAACATGAGAATTGGGGGGATGGGTAGATGGGAGCACACAAACATTTTGTCCATCACAGTGTTCATAGAAGGAAGGCTGGGAAAAGAGGGCTGAGGGCCCAGTTGACGTGGCTCAGCGGTTGAGTGTTGATCTGTGAATCAGGAGATGAGGGTTCGATTCCTGGTCAGGGCACATACCTGGATTGAGGGTTCGATCCACAGTAGGGCGTGTGCAGGAGGCAGCTGATCAATGATTCTTTCTCATCAATATTTCTAACTCTCTCTCCCTCTCCCTCTCGGAAGTTAATAAAAATATATTTATTAAAAAAAAAAGAAAGAAAGAAAGAGGGCTTAGGGAGGGGTGCCTGAGAGAGAACTGAAGATGAAGATGGTTCCTAGCATTTCAGGAGACCAGAGGAGTTGGAGGCAGGATCTTCCCTGGTCACCCTGGTTCTGATCCAACCTCACTTTGCATCCAGTACCAGGGCTGGGGTGAAGCCACGTGGTGGGTCTGGTGGGGGTGGAGCCTGTGCAGGAGCTGGCATTGGGCCTGGGTTAGGAGGAGAAGAGGAGCAGGTCCCCGCTGCGGAAGCCATCTCTGTAGGAGCCCCAGCTCGGGGAGTGGAGGGGCAGAAAGCATGAGTGGG